TATCTTTCTCTGACTGGCTTATTTCACTTGACAAGTAACTTGATTCACTTTTTTAAATAAATAAGAGAGTATGTTTAAAAGTATAGCAAAGACCAGTAATTTAAAAGATATTCAAACACTGAAAAAACTGAAAAACACCAGCTAATCTTCATGTGTTTGGATCTCTTAGCAAGGTAAATAGCACTATACCAATTCAAAGGTCAAAATTGCCAGTTTGAGGTTTATTTTGATTCTCAAACTTCTTATTTCCTGAAAGATCAATCACAGGGTTTATATATTATACACTATGCATATAGGATTATTAATATATAATTTGTAAGAATAGCTCAACATTAGCATCATACAGGGCCACAAATGCACACTTATAATAAGCAAAATCAACTGATCAGATCAGTATGTACTTCTGCACTGATATCTGGAAATTTCAAAATTTTCAACTCAATGTGCCATCATTTCCTGCTTTTGCTTTTTATTTGACATTAGTAGTTCCTTTCAAATCAGTAATGTCTCTATGTCTATTATTAAGATTTAATCCTTATAGTAAAATTGTAATGCATTTTCCATTTTGCTGATTTATCAAGTACTTTTCTCAGTATTTGGTATTCAGGAAAATATATAAATTTCCTGGTAAATTCCAGGAAAGAATATCCACATAGAAGCAATAGTCAGGATATTGGTTACCCCTTGGTGGGGGTTGTACTTGATAAGGGACACCAGAAAGTACTTCTGGATACTGATGATATAGGATGTAAGTGTGATGTTTGGAACAGATAGCTGACTAGAGACTTAATTTAAGTGTCATCCATATAGGTGATATTTAAAGCCATAGCCTGGAGGTCACTAGGGAATACTATATATAGATAAGAATATAAAGGACTGGCTGAAACCGGTTTGGCTCAGTGGATAGAGCGTCGGCCTGCGGACTGAAAGGTCCCAGGTTCGATTCCGGTCATGGGCATGTACCTGGGTTGCGGGCACATCCCCGGTAGGAGATGTGCAGGAGGCAGCTGATCGATGTTTCTCTCTCATCGATGTTTCTAACTCTCTATCTCTCTCCCTTCCTCTCTGTAAAAATCAATAAAATATATTTTTAAAAAAAGAATATCAAGGACTGTTTCCAGAGTCACTAATATTTAGAGGCTACAGAGAAGAGAATAACTCAGTATATTGAAGGATAGGACAAGTGAATTATGAGAAAACTTATGGGAACATGTTGCCCTGGAAGACAAAGTACATCAAGAAGGAGAGAGTGATTTAAATTCTTAATGTGTGCAGTTAAAATTAACCTTAAATAAACTCTAATGAGAAAGCAATTCTGGAATGGTGGAGTAAGAACTTCTGAAAATACATTCCTCCATAAATTGCCAAAATAAATTTTCTCCAGACTCTAACCAAAGGCTCACAACAATCTGAGAAGTGCTTTAAAAAAACAAAAGAAAACAAGCCAAACTAAACCAATCAAACAAAAGACACCTGATTCTCAGTAAGACCAGGGAACCCTATTTTCATCTTCTTCTTTCCCACTCTCCAGATGCCTTGAGGATTTTTTAATGATAAAAGGGTCAATCCATCCAGAAGATATATATATAGATAACCTAATAATAGACAAACATGGTAATTGACCATACCTTCGCTACACGTCCCATTGGCTAATCAGGGTGATATGCAAATTAACTGCCAACTAAGATGGCAGTTAACTGCCAACAAAGATGGCGGCTAATTTGCATACTGCAAGCAGGGTAAGACAGCGCAAGCCGCCATCCAGGCCCCCGTGTGCGACCGGGGGTTGGGCAGAGGCTGGGGCGAAGGCAAGCAGTACCATTCACCTCGTCAGAGCCCTTACCCACCCACCGGAGACAGGGGGCCCACTCCTGTGTGTGATCCAGGGGCAGGCGGGGGCTGGGGCCAAGGCAAGCGGTGCTGATCACCTCGCCAGAGCCCTCACCCGCCCACTGGAGACAGGGGGCCCACTCCCATGTGCGACCCAGGGGGGGGGGGATCGGCGGCATCGCTTGCCTTAGCATGAACCCCACCCACCCACCAGGAGCCAGCCAGCCTAGGGCCAGGAAGGTGGGACCTGACCCTGGAGCGCTGGAGTCACCCGGGCTCTCCCTGCCATCTGCGCTTCATAAATTGCAAGTTTCCATGGAGGTAGCGGCTGCAGGATGCAGAGTGGGAGACAGGGGAGCAGGCCAAGCGTGGCCCAGGCTCGGGCTTGATGGAGGGCACTGGCGCGGAGGAGATATCCCCAGTGGGCAGTGGCTCCCCCTGCCACCAGGGAGATCTCCTCTACGCCGGTGCCCTCTGTCGAGCCCGAGCCGCACTCGGCCTGCTCCCCTGTCTCTCACTTTGCATCCTGCAGCTGCCACCTCTGCAGAAACTTGCGATTCATGAAGCGCAGGCAGTGGAGAGGAGGAGGCACCTAAGAAGTCCCCAGCTGCTGGTGCCAGGAGCTGGAAACTTTGTGCTGGGGTGCTCCCGGCATTGCCAGTGGCAGAGGGGAGCTGGGAC